CGACCAGGGCTCGCAACTGCGCGACAAAGAAGCCCACTGCTTGCTGCGCAGAACGAGTAGCACGTTTGAATGCATTTTGAGCGGGTCGCGCCGCCCGCACCTGGGGCGGCCACCTCTGGCGCCAAAAAAATGAAAGTTTCGTCCGAGTCGCGTGGCAAAGCTCAATTTCGAATAGATTCGCCGCAATCGCATAAGACTGACTCAGGCCAAGACGCGCAACGCCCAGAGCCCCCCGAGGTAATCCAGGAACTACAAGGCAGCGGTCCAATCAGGAGGCCCCCCGGGTGGGGCCCATGGAGGGGTCGCACGGAGCCCTCAAGGGCTTCCTGAACCTCGGGGCACGCAACGTGCCCGGCGACTTGTGAAACTCACGGCTGGCGGGCAGTGCGGACGCGTGGCGGCCGCCCCCTTAAGGCCGACGCCTGTAACGCGATTGCCTAGACCTCCAGAGATCAAGAAGTCATCGTCATGCTCGGCGCCCACGGGCCTGGATCAGGAGCCGCGGTCCCCAGGGGCGCCGACATGGTTTCCCCGGAGAAGATGCGCGCCCCCTGCCCACGCAAAAACCTTTTTGCCCACCGCCCAAGGCAAACGGCGCCCCACGATGCGCAATGCTGCAAGAATGAATGCGCGTCGGCAAGCCGGGAGGCGCTTGCGCCGCTAATCTGCTCGCAGTCGCGCGGTAGATGCTCGCCACTACGCAGGGGGGCTGGCCGCAGCGCTGAACCCGAGCAGCCGCGCGCCTGCGAGGGGGGGCTCTGGACAGATTCATGAAAGAATGAATGAAACCCGACATCTGCTCGAACTGCCGCGGCGACGCCCGGCGAAACTCCACCCTCTGGGCCCGATGTGTCAGGCCCCTGCGGAATCTTACGCATGCATTTGATACCGCAGGCCCTGGCCTGGTCTAGCCCCCCAAGACTGCGAAGCTTGTGCTCCTCGATACACGCGATGCGTGCGTTGGTTTGCTCTAGTCCCTCACGAGTTGCCACCCCGCCCCAAACCGTTGAATGCCTCCAGAATGGACGCCGAATATTACACTGGGTACCTGCTCGGGCCGAGGGAGGGCAGTGCTGGGATGGTTTGGAATGGGCGGGCCTGATATAAACTCGCTGCTGATTCGCTGCTGGTCACCACAGCTAGGCACGACGCCGCTTAGCGCTGGCCCCCGAGATGCTCTCAACTCTGCGCTTGGCCTCAGACGACAGCTGCTGCTCGCCACCAATCAGCTTGAACACGTCCTCATCCGAGGTGACGGTGACAGGCGGCCCCTGAGAGCCAGAACATGGTTGTGGGGCACCTCTTGAGACTGATGATGCTGCGGATGCAGCGGGGCCGCCTCGGACCCCTCCGCCACTGGGGCCTTCTCCACAAACTCCCCATGATCAGGATCATACGCCTGCCCTGACAGCAGCGCGGCCTGCAACGCCTCCATCTTGGCCTTGAGTTCGCCCAAGTTGGAAGTCCCGACCGACTTGGCTGCCTCTTTGAGCAGACGGTCAATGCCGCGAAGGGCGCCACTGAACTTGTTGATCGGCATGGCTGGCATCTGAGGCGGTGGTGCCAGCGTAGCCGACAACTCCCGATAACGAACACGAAGCTGCTCGATGTCCGTGTCAAGCTGCCCCGTACATGACCAAGAGCTCCGAACCACGTTTCGCATTGTGCTCGATGCTCTGAACAACCTGAGCGAGATCCTTTTCCTTGGCGTTGAACTGCCGCTGGACTGCCCCAGCCTGTGTTTCATCGTCCTGCTGGTCGAAGGACTCCTTCTTGATCTGCTCCACGGGCGTATTGAGAGCGGTGGCAATGACCTCGTTGCCTTGCACATCTGCGCCCTTGAAGAGGCTGGCGAACAACACCCGGTACTCCTGAACGTTGCCCTGTTAAGGAGGGGCGTGCACTCGCTGACCAGCAAGACCTCCTGCACCTCATTTTGGGCCTCCTATGCCCTCACCCTTACCCTTCCTGCCGCTGGGAATACTGTCGCCACCATCAACCCAAACACCACGAGGACGACGAAACTTGCCGATCGAGGTGAACTTGGGCAATGGCTGGTGGCACGCCCAGCACCACGAGAACCACGGCATGGTCTTCTTGCAGCCGCAATACGAGCACACGAAGTCAGCACCACCGCCGCCCACCATGGCGTCAGAATGTGGGTAAGTCCGCTAAGGGGGGGAACGATGATGGAAATCCCTGCCGGCCTGGCAGCTCGAACACGGCGTGCGATTGGCCACTGCTGCCTGAAGACAGGGGCATTCGAGCCTGCCCGTTGGCTGCGTCCGAGCACGAGACCCTAGGCACGTGGTTCGTACTTGAGCCAAAATAGATACGGAGATGGAGGCGGAGGAGGAGGAGGAGGAGGAGGAGGAGAGGGAGGAGGAGGGGGAGGCTAGAGGAGGAATCGGGGATCCGATTTTTTGGACGTCTGGGTCGCCCTCGCTGCCACGGCCAGGTCCGCGTCGAAATTCTGGTCGGAACGCGCTCCTGGACAAAT